AATGAATAAATAAATTAAGTAACAGTATCGCAGCTATTTCGAAGGCGGACTACTTTTTGTCTTAACAAAAAATGCAAAAATTTGGTTAAAATTTTTACTTCAAGCTTTTAAATACATATTAACACCAAAAATTGGTTTTCTTTAACGTCTGCTTAATCTAAATCTCAATTTCCACCAATCCTTCTGAATTTCATATTCTATCTTCAAATGCTTAGGAATAGCACCAATATTGTTACCTTTTCTAATGGCCGAAATATTTCGTAAATTGTATTCCTCAAAAGAGTCTGAACATGTGAAATATGAAAATTAATTTGGGCTAGAATAGAAGGGATTTTTGTACTCTTTCATTATCGAAACACTTCACTTTGAAATACCTTAATCGCAGAGCTTAATTCTCAAAACCGCTGCCCAGATTTGAGTGATCGAATAATCAAGACACTCACCATCAGTTAGGTGCGACTAACAAAGTTAGTTTAAATGGATAAGAGCTTACCAGATTAGTTTCAAAAAGTTGAAGTCAAACTATCTCTGCATTCATAAAGAACAGTCTATTGTAAAATTCAAAAGATTGGAAACTCAATATTATTATTATTATTTCTCTATATACTCAACAATGGACTCATCAATCTTCTGGCATTTGGACAGCTTCATTTAAGGAGACCAATGAGTGAAAGTTTATGCTAATTAAATGGGGTTCGTCAAGGCCACCTTATAGTGTTACATTTAAAAGTTCATTTGGAATGACAAATTAACCGTGTTGGTTAAATTGCATTAAAGTTTGACCCCCCCCCCCCACCATTGTCTCTACTTGTGTCGAATGCGTACTTAATTGTGTTGAATTTTTCTCGTATTCGTTTCAAATATACGTACAATGCGAAAAGTTAAGGTAAAAAAAAACATTTTGTCTTGAGGAGTCTTGTACGTGCCAAGCAGTCCTTTTGATTCAGGTCTCGTTAATAACAAAGCAGGGGGTTTGGCAGTAAATGAGGATAGTAACACTTTGTAAAACTTACACGCCTCCTAAAGTCAGTCAGTTAAGGATTCGATGTGCACTTGTTGAACGATGAAAGCAGATAAATAAGTTAATATCGGTCAGAAATCGGTGACCGTACGTTTATGATCATCTTGCTATAGTTCAACTTGGCTACTTTCAAGTGTGTTTAGCTAATTCCTAAGTCATTTCAAAAGAAGTGATCATTGAAACCATACGACTGGTTTTCAAGTCGCAAACTTATCTAAACAAAGGAATCAGCAAAATGGTCAAAATTTGAAATATGTAATCATCCATTATCAAGCAGTAAATCATATCTGCTTGCGTAAAGGAAGGCAACCTGAATTCAAGAGCTGGATAAATTAAAATATTTTCAAAAGCTTCGACTTTTTCCAATCCTCATCTTGTTCCACTATTTGTCAATGAAGCTATTTTCGTCATTATTTAAAACACATTTATGTCCAACTGTGTTAAGTTAAAACAATTTTGTTATAAATTATATAAAGGAAAATATTTAGAATACTTCCCTTTTTTACTTTTACACTGTTGTTTGTGACTGTATGAGAATGTCATTCGCTCTGAAAAATAATCAATCGATTTACTTTTTTATGTCTAAGTGTCATAAGAACACCAATCACGTCATTTCCTTTTTCTCTACAACTCATTCTTTTCTTTAGTTTTTTTCAAAATAATTAAAAACCGCCTTTTGGGAGAGTATGAGAAAGATTTGCCAATATTAACAAAATCCACAGGATATATTCACCCAAATATTCAACTCAATGACCATGCATACGTTTATCGAATTATTTGATCTTAACGCATTTTCATATAAGAATATTTAAAAATTAATTTTTGCTTACTTCAAAAACTTACCCGACGAGATTTAGAAGTTGGCCATGTTTCCGTACAAATAGTCCCGTTTTCAATATCATCAAAAGTTGTAGTTTGGTAAATGGCCAAAGGAAGAGATACCATTGTTGCAATTGCCCAAATGGCCGCAATAATAACTCCACACATCCAATTTTCCATTTTTCTGATAAAGGGATGTACAATGACCATGTATCGATCCAAAGCTATCGCTGTTGAGGATAGCGTGGATACATAAACAGAAACTGCCATCGTGAACCCAAGAAGTTTGCAGAGGAACCGAGGTAAGAACCAAGTGTTCGAGAAAGCAGATATTGGTGTGAAAGGAGCAGCAACAAGGGACATTAGCAGATCAGACACCGCTAGATTAGTTATGAATAGATTCGTTACTGATTGCATCGATTTACACCGGAGGATAACAAAAATGACTATAGTATTCCCCACTAAACTGAACACTATTATGAAGCCGTAGATAATAAAGACAATAGTTTTCACCAAGGGACTCCATTCTAAAATAGCGTGTGTCTCTGGGGGAAAATCTGCCATTCTGTGTTACTCGCTGGCTGGAAGACTTGTTTTTGGAAAATGAGATTCCTGTATCGAGTAATGTGGAAAGAATTGTGGCCTACTGCAATGCGACTATTTGATTGGCTATGCCAAAATAACTGCTTCCAGAGTTTTCAGCCAATGGTGTGAAAATGTGGCGCAATCATTTAGAAATCTTTGACTTAACTATTGCTTTCAATCTGATTTTACTTGAATGTCGTCTTCTAATTATGGGGGCATACAATGACTTTAACTTCCGTTCAGTTCCTGCCTGTCTCTAGGCCGTCTTTAAATATAAATCGTCAAATTATAATTATTAAATAGAAAAAAGAAACGTAGTTGATATGCTTATGATTTGATTTTAAATGTAACTTAGCATGCAATTTAAAAATATAACCCTCAATAACATTGAAATAAAAATACCACGAAAATATGGTGTCTTTTATTTGTAACTATTCAACTAGAGTTATATATATTTACTAGCAAATTATTTATTTCTTTAATCATAAATAATAATCGATAAAAGAAATCCTCTATGTGAATATGCTAAATTTTAGACATGAATTTAGTCACCAATTATTTATTTCCAGTTTCTTTCGGTAAATATTTATTAAAAATAAAAATATCTATCATTCTTTTAACTTTTATTAAAGGCAACATAATTTGTGAAAAATGGTAAAAACTTAAGTTTTAAAATTTAAGCATTCTTCTTGTTTAGGAAATTTTAAAAAACATTATTATGGTAGAACGAGCAGGCTTGTGAAGACTTGGCTATTCCAACCTCACAGGAGCGAACAAAGAATTGAATTTTTGCTTCTAAAATCCGAATTCTAGAACCCCATTATTTCTCCTTTGGCTGGCACAGTTAACCTTAGCATGACTAAAGCTTATTTCTGAAATTTCAAATCGAAGTAGCCACGAATTGGCCTGGCAACGAGGTAGGTAGAAGAATTTATGTTTCTTATCAAGTGTCGATGGAACAACAGTAGACCATTTTCATCAGCGCGTATACCATAATATGAATGAACAACCGCAGTATTCAATTCAGCTTATTATTGCCTAGGAAGGAAAACAGGTTTCTTGTCAAAGTGACTTGAGAATACCCTCTAAAAGGATCTAGAAGATTATTCTTACTGTGAATTAGGCCTTTTAAAAAAAGAGTCATATTAGTGATTGACTCAGAATTCGTATTCCATTATATGGTGGTTTCAAATAAACTAATATCTTTTGATCTCATTTTAAAGAAACACACAGACCATAAAAAATAAACAAGTAAATAAAATAATATGAATTTCCTCTCAGACATCAACAGCCTCAAGTTGAAAACAGAATGAGCATTAAGGTGTTTGGAAGGTGAACCATCAAGAGAACAGGATTGTTTCTATCTGTCTTACTTAAGTACTTCAAAAAGCTAAGTTTTCACTCAGTTGTCTACCTCTTTTGAGACAATTATTCTGATACATTTCAAAAGAGGACCACTTCCTCCAAGCAGTCAAATTTTGTCTAGTAACTAAGATCAGATTTTTGGCGAAATTTTGTTTACCATGTTATGCTATGTTAGCATTTTTCCAATCATGTCTGCACTTTCACATTTCTCCACTAGTAAATGCAATGACACGTACATTCTAGTGACTGATTTGCGTGTAGCTTTTTCACGTCCACTGTGAGTCAATTTCAAAACACGCACTCAGACACACGAACGAGCCTTATTACCCGTTACACTCAGTATTTTTTGTACAAAATCCTCACTAATATCTTTTTCTGACACAATTCTACCCGTCTGCTTGAATTATACTCGCCTATAACAACAATGGGCAATTTCGTATTCAATGGGCGTGCTCTAGAATTCTGCGTTGTGGTTACTGCATTGTTGATGTTGAGGTTTAAACAGGATAGAAAACAAAATTCAACTTGATACATAGTGTACAAGTATACATAGTAGGCAACTAGTCTCTGTGAGCACCTTTTTTCTATTGTCTCCTTGCGCCCAGGGGGATATGAGAAAAGGCATTAATGAGTAAGTAATTGAAATAGGATCAACGTTTTTGATTACACGGCACAGTCCCATTGGGGATGAAAATAGTGATCCCTTATGTGTTCATCAACTTTGCTCATCGAATTAGGCAAAGTGCGTGCCCCCATCTCCCCCAAACAAACAGTTGTGTTCATCTTGTTTCCCTTCCTCTTTTCTGCTCATGTATTCATGAAATTTTTGTGCTCAGCTGTCATTCTTTCCATGATAGTCTGGCATGCATATTGCTTAAGGGTAGTAACCATCTCATTATTAAGCTGAGACAGTTTTCTGATTCACTCGTATATGGAAACGAACATGACTTGTTTCTAAGATAGCAACTTAAAATTGAGGTCGCATTAGGTCATTCGTTGTGTGCAAAATGGTCACCGTTACATCAAGTTGAGTAACCTTCAGCATTCTGCTGGGGTCACAGTAGTATGAGGGAAATTTGATTTAGACTTTGACTTTAATTAACCATTTCGCATTGTACTCAGTGAAATCGATTGGCAAAAGCCAAATTAACTTCTCAATTTAAAAAAAATTGTGTACACTTTCCAAAGTGGGTTGTCAATTATACTACTACTCGTCAGTTTCAGCTTCACAAACTATTTCGTACCATTTACCGTTTCAGAATATCACCAGACTCTGAGTGCAGCTTACTCACCTACTCTTTCACTGCTATGATACTTTTAGTGATCTNTTAGTGATCTCAATGTCCAATGTTTATTACGTGAACTTGAGGACACTATTTACTGCCAAAGGCACTTACACGTGTACACAAATGACACAGAGATATTGAGGCCCATGGTTGCAAATCTAATGATTGAAGTTGGAGAAGATGGAAGTTGCTTATTGTTGGAGGCTTTGAAACTAATTTCGAGTGTGATTTCGGTAGGTTGGAGAGTGCTTGCAGTTTCGCCTTCCAAGTCGACATGATCTTATAGATTGAAAATTCTACTTCTGTCTCTTCATTGACCACTTTAAAGTGGTACGGTTGGTAATTCCGATTGGCGGATATGAATTAGTGATCTCTTGGTAGGCGGGTGTGCCAACTGCGCATCCACTTTATGCTTCATGTGAAATGTATTGACTTTTTCATGGCAAAAGACGTCTATCTCTTTGAGGGGTATTCGAGACAATGTTGAGAGTCTCGAGAGAGAAAAAGGGGCAGTGGTTGGTAAATGATCAAGTTAAAGGATTGAAATAAAAATCGTTGGAAAGGTAGGTAGCACGTTGACAAGGGGTTTTACTCCAAAAACTATCAGTGGGTTCTGTTGGGTTCTCAATTCTGTCCTGTCCTAGAACCCATGTCAATATGTTTTAACACCTGTTGAGACAATGGGAAAGGAGCCAGATTGTCAGTGCCTCATTGATACGTTATACCTTAACTGTAGGTTGCTTTGTCTTTGTCTGCCTATTTCCGTGGGTCTTTCCTGAGAGAAGTTGACCTCTGCGACATTTTTATGATCTCGAAATGACGAACGTCTTCATTGAATGCGACCTCCATAGTAGAGCATGAAACATTGAAGTAACAGTGGTAGCAAAATATGAGTAGGAGTTGTAAGATGTTCCGACGCTCTCATACGACATATTTTGGACAAATGGGGTGTGTGATGGACTTACCTCCACGTGGTGCACCCTGGGCAATGTATGCTCAGACGGCAAAAAAGTCTATTATTCGGCAGTTGACTTCCGACTTCAAAACACCATCACCTCACTGTATGTCATATTCGACTACTTCCACAGTACTCACCTCACCTTTTTCACTCTACGTTTGTGTCTGTCTCTTTTGCATCTTTGAAATACTCTTCTGTTCCCCCCCCCCCTCCCCCTCTCGACATTTTTTCACTTTGATGTTCCTTCTTCTCTGTGAAGCCTGAAGTCAGCTAAAGGGCTTATGATAACTATCAAAATGCCTCCCATTTAAAAAAAATCTGGACAAGTTTCCTTATTTTTTTGGTCATTGATTGGAATCGAAATGGTGAAAGTCATTTTGTCTCAAAATTCAGGTTGCTTAGAGTCATCATTCACCCTGATTGTCGTCTTGCATGTGAATAAAGTAAGTTTTACTCCTTCAAAGCAATCGTGATGTACGTGGATGCTTTTAGTGCATCCGGAAAGGAACAACTACATTGTATTCTTTAAAATTTATCCCAATTGTATACGCCTTATTACTCAGTGTAGTTAAGGCAATTCTGACCAGTTCTTTTATGGCAGATAATTAACAAAGTATCGCCTAGTTCCTATCATCTGTTTGAAGATAGCATATCCAACCCCTTAGTTAATACGACTGGGGGCGTGCGATAGACTTACCTTCACGTGGTGCACCTGAGCAACGTATACTCATGCGGTAAAAAGGTCTAAAAACCGGCAACTGACATCTCACTTCAAACTATCTTGACCCCAATGTATGTAATATTCCACCATTTCCACAGTCTTCATCTTACTTTTCTCACTACCTTTGTGTGTGTCTGTCTCTTTTACATCTTTAAACCACTCCTATATCCCCCCCCCTCCCTTGACTTTGTGGGACTTTGATTTTCCTCTCCTCTATGATACCGAAGTCAACTAACGATCTAATGATGTCTATCATAAAGCTTGCCGTTCGATATCAGTACGTTTAATGCAACTTTTAATTAATTCTGAACATTACAGATAAGAAATTAAAATTTCACAGTGGTATGTAGTTGTTTAAGTATTAAAAGGCGGGTAAATTCAGAGTTTAAATTCAGCTGCCCAATTTCCTTACGTTTAGTACGCAATTCCACGCAATCGTCTCTTCATCCCGGCTATAGGATATCATGTTTACCCTCAAGATTATAAATGCAAGGAGGCTGTT